ACGATTTCAAAATAAATATCCATTTCTGATACAAATGCTGTTATGCATAAATGCACTTGTAGCATTTAAGTTTTACATGTTTTATTTTCTATTTCGACAAAATGTTCATATCTGCCATTTATCAATAATCAGCTATAAAAATAAATATTGGCTTATCAATATCAGATAGTATTTAAATATTAGTGAATACCTACTTTTAATTAAAGCAATTCCATAACTTTCTGTACATGGAAAAGCAAAATTGCATAATTTATATGTACATTTCATTATAAAAAAAAAATAAGCCATAATATAAAATGGTGAAATGGCCTGAAAACCTACAAAAGTCATACCTTTTCACACAAGCCAATACAATTTTGCCATCTCATACAAATGAGTTTTGATGAGAATGTGGGACTACATACTGTAATAAATCTCATGCTCTGGATACCAAAGCAATGTTTCCCCCCTTGAAGATGCATCAGTCTCTCCTCCAGTTTACAGCAAAGCTAAATGAATGCAAAAGGCTGAAAGGTCTAAACGTTGAATAAGTGCAAGGAAAGTGAGGGTGAGTGAAAGATGCATCCCTAGCACCAGTTTCTCCTATTGCCCAAATCTTCTCTCCTCCAGCACTCACTATCTCGTTCTTGATTGTGCTGTGGGAGCTGCAGAAGGACATCAGTGCACTTGTCTGAGGCAATGAAGCTTTTTCCCCCCCTCTTCCTCTCGTTCTCTCTGCACAGCCCTCGCTGTGTTTTTGGCAGTCGCAACTGACCATCATGAGCCGTGGTGCCAATTTTAGTGAAAACTGGCACATATGGCAGCTGAAGTGCCATATGCCATAACAGAATATTTTTGGCGGTTTCCTCCATTTGTATAATCACTGGATCTGATATAAAAGTGGCTCATTATTAATTATTCCTTTTACCATTTTGAACCCCTTTAAAAGAACCATTTTATGCAAGTGCAGCTCTGAGGTTCATATTAATAGGAGCATTTGGTCATTTACAAAGAGATTAAAGGGGATGGATTTGGGATTCTACCTGTGAGTCTTTTGTAAGCACTGCAAAAGCACCTGCGTGTACATGATTATGAGAAAGAGTCCCTATTTCCGCTTGTTTCCATCTGCACTAAACACTTGTGTACCAAGACCGCTGTATTGTCTTCCTCTTTACAGGGTTTAGACTCCTTCCTTCTCCTCTTCTGCCCTCCATTGGAAAGACCATGTTAAGTCTTCAGAATGCTCAGTGCACAGCCCTAATCAACTTCATTCTTTCTATTACATTTAAGTGACACAGCCATATATCGTAAAGAATTTTTGGTTACACTTTTTAAGGTATCTTTGTTACAGTATAATTATAGATTTAAGTACTGATATTAATTACTAAATGTACTTAATATATGGTTAGGGTTAGGATAAGGGTTTGGTTTAGGGTTACTTGCATGTAATTATACATAATTTATTGTTATTAGAATAGTAAGTACATGTAACGTGTTACAAGGACACCTTAAAATAAAGTGTTACCGACTTTTTGCATCATTTTTGATAAGCTAAATGCATAAAATGTACTTTGACTGTCAGGACTGAGCTTTGTAGTTTATACTGTAAAACAGTCTAAATCTGTGTTCTCTTGCCAATATGACAACGCCACAGCAGATGTAAACATTAATCAAAACATTGATAAATATGAGCCTTGTTCCTCCATCAGATGATCCCTATTGTTATCATGACATGCCGTATATGTTGTCATCCTTAATCTCCTTTTCCTGCAAGAAAAGCAGCACAACAGCTGAATTGCTAAATAAAAAAACAGACCTTTGTTAATTGTAATTATACACTGACTTGCATCTGTTTGGAATACGTTCATGTTTCTCTTTCTAGCTTCTGGTAATAAAATCATATCATTCTAGATTGGCGCGTGGCATGTCTGAATGTCCAGAATAGAGTTGTTCTTAATCCTTTAGAAGCTTACAGTTCAAGATAACAATCTCTCCTTTTTCCTTCTTAAACACAGGATTATTTTCTTACAATCAGATAGACTTTTAATACAAAAGAATATCTTAATCTCTTGTCCCTAGTTAATCAATAAAGTCCTTGTGACAAAAAAAACAAAAAAAAAAGTTATTTAACATCAGGGTCATGTTGAGCTGACAGAGTACTACAATTAGCCTCCGCACGAGGATGCCACAGAGAAATCTGCTCCGTGTTACTTACACTGAGAAGGCAGTTTGCCCCAGTAAAGCGCCGCTATTAACAGTGGCTATATGTTTTAGGACAATAAAGGAGGAGGAAGGGAGATTAATTCTGTCCACCGAACAGCCTCTGCCAGCCACCATGAACCTGCAGTTCATGAGCTAAGCAGATGGCTACTGATTGAGCAAGCTTTCAGAACACTGTATGGAAAAAAGAGTCCTTATCATGCTTGGCTGGACAAGTGTTTGGAGCAAGACGAGATTTACAGTTAAGACTGTGTAAATCTTTATATGTTAAAGACCTCAGCATAAAAAAATTAAAACCTATTTTGTGCAGGAAAGGGTTTAAAAATCCCATAATTTGACATGCACAATGTAAATTGCATTTAATATGTTATCTTTAATTTAAAAATATAAAAAGTTATTATTAAAGAAAAAAAAACATCTTAAAAAAACTTTGTGCACAGCAAAATGACTTTACCATATCAGTCTGAATTAGTGATACACCTAATGCACTGTTAATATTTTGTAATTTTCCATGAAGCTCTAAATTGGGAAAGAATGGTGTAACCAGAACATTTCATTTCAATTTAGTCCTCTCTTTAAAAAGGATCATTTGAGTGTATAATATCACTGTGAAATACATATTAGTACATACTCTATTATCATAATGGAAGATAATATAAGACAATACTTGTTGATATTTTATCTAGTTAATGGCCCTGAAAACCAGAGAGACCTCTTTAGTTAGAGAAACTGTGTTCATTTCGAATACTGATTCATTAGAAATGCATTAGATGATTTAAAGTACAATATAGATTATTGTCTTTAATACCTTGCTTTCATCACATACAAAAAAAAAAAAAGATTGTCGATGTTGTCCTCAACAAGAAGACAATATGCAGCATTGCTGAAGCAGAAACTGTTTTACACTACATTTATTTCAGTTTCTTTCTTTTTGAAAAACTTGATGTCAATTTAACTTTGCACTAAAGTAACCAGTCGCCCACTTGTGCTCAAGGAACCAGCCACATCTTATAGAAGGCTATGACAAATGTAATATATTTTTTTCGGACAGCAACTGATCAGTTTACCTTCTCTTAACCCATTTACAAACCAAAAGATTTTAATTATTAATTTCATTATTGATAATTGCACTTTACCACTTTACAATTTTTTTTATTTAGCAAAAAGCTCCAAAACGCTCTTTATATGGCAGCAACACAACATTTATCTTCTGATAAGAGCTATTCTGGGGGTACAAGCCACAAGAAAGATGAATATGTCAGCAGAAGGTAGTCTAAATCTCTCTTATCTATTATGACAGTTAATTAATTCTCTCGATCAAGGTTATGAGTTGGATGACATCCACAAGAACTAAGTACGACCGTGTCCCTGTGAACCTACCCCCAACAGACCCCATAGAGTAATCTATTGATTTGTGGACCTTCTCAAATCTTCAGACTGATTAATGTTTAAAACATTTCGCCATATCGGTTCAAACACAGCGGGACTGTTGCGTACCGCCGCAATATGTTGAAGGAAACTCTGGTGTGTGTGCACTTGGCTGGCTGAATACTCACTGCTGTCTCCCACAGATGTTAATACAGACATCACAGTCCAATCGAGCTGAGGTCAGGTTGAGCACGCGGGGCTCTCGTGCTTCTCTCCTCTAGAGATGGAGCGCCACAGCAGGTGTGCACGCGACAAGCTTCCGCGCTCATGAGCCGGGTCTCTGGCTGCAGCAAAGCGAAAGAGCACCCCAGATGCAGATAAGTATCAATAGAACAGTTTGCTAATTGTCAGTTGGCGAACCAGCACTGAGAAAAAAAGCCATGATAATTATAATACAACGACATAATGTAGAGCGGAGCTCGTCGCAAGTGGCGACATGCAGCTGTGCATTCAAAAATCCAAGCGAAGACAGGAACCGTCCGCGATTTTAAGGAAGCTGTGGGACAAAGGCACTCAATGAACAGTAACTCAGTATCACATGGAGAAACTTTGTGTTGCCCATTTAGCTATTGGCACGTTTGTAAATCAGCAGGGCTCAAAAGAAGTCATGAGCAAACAAAATTATTTCCCCTAAACCATCATAGTTAGGTTATAGGCTATTTCAGCAGGAAAAGAATGAAAAATGCTGCATAAAAATCTTTTAACTGATGTCTTTAAATTACAATGTTTTAAAAGACAGTACATGTAATTTTACTGTAATATACGATTTCAGGCAAGTTATTATAGCTAATTAATTGGAAGGGGCATTCCCAAAATTCACTGGTCAAACCATCACATTTGTTTGGATTTTATTTTTGTAAAAGTTACTGGAGTTCAGGTGTTTTATATTGCATTGTATGTTGTTTAGTTGATGTTTACTGCTTTATTTTGGCGTCACATATGTTGCCCTTGTGTGGTTAAACTGGGCTCTGTCTTTGTTATTAATGGCCACAATAGAAGTCATCATGTGCCACCTTCCATTGTGAAACCTGTGCTATTATACAGGTAACAGTAGCCTATAACAAAACGATAGCCCAAACAGACTGATATATTTATGACCTGTAAAATATCAGAATGCCATCCCGTGTGCATGTAACATCGCCACTGTATTTTTACAGTAAAGGTCTGCAATCACGACGTCCAGTTTTTGACCATAAATATAACAACACTGTACAGCAGGCTATACATTCAAAAACAGCATAAGCACCATCTTTTGAATATAATTCTAACATTAAAATGAATTAAAATAAAAATACAAAAACAAATGAGTGAATGTTCTTTGTTTTACAATGTATGAAAATATGAATTATGAAATATGCATCTGTTTTAGTGACTGCGGTGCACTTTATGTTTCAGCATAGATACCCTGCATCTACTAGCTAACTGTCGGCGACCGAAGAGTTAAAGGGAGGAGACGAAGCGTGTCACGCCTCATTGGGCAGATTATGTGCAGCAAACAAAAAGTGTGTATGTGGGTGCCACTCAGTCAGTGTATCGGCCCCATCTGCACGCCTCTCTGCGCTCGCGAGTCATAAGACGGTCGGCAACACTGTCACTTTCAACAGACGGGGAAATGTACTGACTGCACGGACTTCATCGGAGACGCTGAACACATACTTGAAGATATATTGACGGCAATTGTGAAATTTTGTGGATTATTTGATCCTAGTACCATGGTGAGTAATGACAATTTTGCAATAAAAACAGCCGGAGGCTAGTAATACACGGGGCTGTATGCAGCCCCCTAACAGCATCCTCGCAACCGTGTAGAAAGCTCGCAGATGGTAGACGATAGAGGGAAACTGGCTACACATCATAAAGTCATAAAGTTGGAATAACAACAAGCCCGCAGATAAAAAGCGCAATAAATTTTAGCCTGAAATAGGAGGTCAATGGGTTCGTCTCCTCTGTTTTAGAAATGCGCATATATTCATGGGTCTATTATAGTATTTAGTTGAAATGCATATTCATTGGGTCCTTTGTGTGATTCTCAGGAGTGAGACTGCGACCACACAGCTACAAAAGGAGAGGATCGTGAAAGGAAGGGCAAAAATCACACTAAGGCTTGTTATGGATGAAGGGAACTTTAAGCATTTGTGTCTTGATAATACAATCGAGAGCCGGGCGTGTCTGTTTGAAATAGCCAAGCATCTTCATCATAAATAAATGGTTATTTAAACGCTTTGCAGAATTATGTCTTTCATATTTCCACGGTTTCATTCTATTTTTTTATTAGGCGCGTCAGTGTCCTATAACCTACTTTATTTGAGCGATAAATACGAAGTAGCATTAGAATAAAAAAAAAAAACCGGTCTGCTTTATAACCACAGCCTGTACCACTCAGTTGAAAAACTGTAAACGATTTTGTAAATGTATTACGTTTTTAATAAACGAGTCTGAAAAACAGCTGCAAAATTGAACACAATTCGAGCTGCGTTTTACCTGCTTTGCAACTAACTGCAGTAACAACATTTCCCTCCACTCTTGTCCTTGTGTAGACATTATTTTTCCACTTGATTTTTCTTTTTCACCTCTTCAAAAAGCTGAGAAATCATGTGAAATCCCAGCAATATGCTGTTAAAACTATAATAAAACTATTAGAAACAGACATGAGCGATATGGAATAGACTGTATATTAAATATATTTCCCCACCGTTTTTAAATGCTACTAAAAACAAGTTACACGAGTGAACTGCAAGTCACGCGTAACAGAATAGCTACGAGAGATTCAGCTCATTTGTAAAAGTGCATCAGGGGGTTGGAGAAGAAAAATAATTAACTCCGCGTGCTGCCTTAATTAAAGTCTCAGAAGGAAAGTGGTGGATTATGGTAATAAGGAGACATACGTTCCTTCTTGTAGAATGGAGCTAAAGGTTAGCTGACGTGAAATCAGTGACTTTGACAGTGCTATTGAATCCATTCGATATGGTCCTCGATGGTAAAATAGACCGAACGGTCTCATAAGGCCAGATTTTCATCCTTGTCAAAGGCATGTAAAATATTTCCGACAAGTGAAAGCAAAGTCTGAAAATACGCAGAGAGTTACTACCGTGATACTGTCACAGTCACGCTTTTAAATCGAACAAATGCACTGTAAGAAATAATCTTCTTTTCGATTACTTCCTCTGCTTTTTTACAGAACTATTTAATTCTGCGTTTGCATTTTATAATATAGGCTAGATTATATCTTAAATGACATACAATACATTAAAGTTTAAAAAATAACAACACCATAAAAATACCAACAATGCATAGGCCTAATTTAAACGAAGAAAAATAGCTTTTAAAAAACAAACAAGGCACGGGCCTAAGTAAGACTGCGTGCTTGGAGATTTTATTAAATGCTTTGCTCAGGAGATTCACTTGGAATTGCACATAAGAACTAGGAAAATATTTACATACATTTTATAATTGAGAAATAGTGACTTATGCGCGGTTCTGTTTATTCACATGAATTCACCCACACTTTTGTCTTACAGCAAATGATGGAGGAATCCAGCTCTCAGAGACTGGGCTGGGATGGCGACGCGAAAGCGATGCAGCAGTGTTTAACGGATATATTTACCAGCGTGTACACCACTTGTGACATTCCGGAAAATGCCATTTTTGGCCCATGTGTTCTGAGTCACACTTCACTGTATGACAGCATCGCCTTTATCGCTCTCAAGTCCACAGATAAACGAACGGCGCCTTACATATTCAGGGTATGGTCACGCTTTATTTCACTTCCAACAAGTCGAGAGTTTGAAATGTGTAGCCTATTTATTTCAGCCATATAGGCCTAACTCCAATATATATATCGTTTTTACAAATATGTAAAACTGTGGTAGAGGAATTGTATTCTTTTGAAATAATTACTGATATGTATTTGCTGATGGTTCTAATGTTTTAGCTAAATGTTTGAAATGTTTGCTGGATACAGGTGGACACCTCAGCTGCCAACAGCTCCTCAGAAGGCCTGATGTGGCTGAGGCTGGTTCAGTCGGCGAGAGACAGAGACGAACAGAACCTAGAGGCCTATGTGAAGAACGGCCAGCTTTTCTACAGGTCACTGAGGAGAATAGAGAAAGACGAAGAGCTGCTGGTGTGGTATGGCAAGGATCTCATTGAGCTGCTGCTGCTGAGCTCAGGCAGAAATCAAGCCAAAAGTAAAGGTACACTTTGAAGATCAACATGTGATCTAATATTTTACATTTTTAAAAATTAAAAATAGCAGCTGTTTGTGTTTAAATATTCAGTAAATATAGTCTGATGAGTTTGCATAATATAGATTTATCAAATACTTAAAAAATGCATACACATTATACAAACTCAATAATTTATAGCTATAAAATAATTTGTAAAAATTATGTTTTAATAAAATGTATCATTATTATGCTATCATTATGTACCCGTTGAAGGAAATTTTTTCAAAAAAAAAAATTATCCCACCCCTTCATTTATTTGATGCAGGAACGTCGCCCTATTTGTGCCCAGACTGTAGCCAGCGTTTCCAGTTCGAATTTCCCTTTTTGGCTCATCTAAGATTCCGCTGCACTAAGAGACTACAAAGCACGGCCAGCCCAGAGGAGGAGGCCACGGATGCCAGTGACCAGGCTAGTCTACCTCCTGCCAGGTCCAGTCCCAAACTGGGCCGATCTGATGGCTTCTCCAATCCCCAGGAAGGAAAGCCATCCACAGACTTCCATAATCTAGCCAGGGATTTGGAGAAAAACAGAACCAGTCCGCCGAGCGACAAAGAGGCCGAGATCCTGAGCGAGAACTCTGGAAAGCGCAAGTTCTCTGACATGGAGGACAGCAGGAACAGTGGATTATCTCGGCCTCCCAAGTCCAAAGAGGAGTTGGCCAACTCGGCGCAGCAGTACCGTGGAGCGTACGGTCTGGACGAGAGCAGGCGTGCTTTCTCGCCCTCTGTTTCAGAATCGACGGAAACCAAGAGGAGCGCCTTCACCGAGGTCAAGAAGTCACCTCAGAGCTTGAAGCACAGCGGTAAAAACTCCAGCTCCAACTCGGAGAACAAGGAGGCTGGCCGGCCCAGCAACAACCCGGCTGAAAAGCACCTCAACATCAGACAGGTTCTCAGCGAGACTCAGCCCCCGCAGTCCCGAATGGAGACCTCGTCAATTGGCAGCGCTTTCACTTCGGTGCTCCAGCAGGGTGGTGGAGGCTCGGAGAGAAAGAGTGCCTTTAGCCAGCCGTCTCGCACCTTCTCGCAGCTATCACCTCTTGTCATGGCACCCAAGCTTCTGCCGGCAGTTGACTGCCATCCTGCGGTGGGCAACACCGTCTCATCCCATAGACTCTACCAGGCGGACCACCTCGCAGCGAAGCTCCAAGGCTCAGAACTAGGCAGCAACTGCCCCGTGCCGGGTGGCATTGCGAAACAGAACCCTTTCCTATACGCCACAGCCTTCTGGCCCAAGACCTCAGGCCCCATCCAGCTGCAAATGCCCTCTGCTCTCACGCTCCTGCCCCCCTCGTTTACTTCCCTGTGTCTGCCTGCCCAGAACTGGTGTGCCAAATGCAATGCCTCCTTCCGCATGACCTCTGACCTGGTCTACCACATGCGCTCGCATCACAAAAAGGAGTTTGCCATGGAACCTCTTATTAAAAGAAGGAGAGAAGAAAAGTTAAAGTGTCCAATCTGTAACGAGTCTTTCAGGGAGCGGCACCACCTTTCCCGGCACATGACCTCTCACAACTGAATTTTGGGGGATTTATTTGCTTTTCTGTCTTTCCTTCCTCCTTTCTTTTTTCTTGCATTTTTTTTAATCAGAAGGGAGTAAGGTTAATCTGGAGGAGTAATGCCAACACGTTTGCTGTCATTTTCAAAAGACATTACTGTTTAAATGGTTTGATTTCTTCAAATGTCATGTTTTGTGTATGAAGATGCATTTTGACTTAAAAACCTAAAATCTATTTATTATATGAAGCACTTATTATTTGAAAAAAGGGGACAAAAATAATGTAGGTGTACCTTGAATTTTGTATATATTAATGTATAATGTATAGAAATCAATTCAGATGCAGATCATTTCATTGAGTGTTATTCAATGACATGTTATGTCTATATGCATAAGGATATCGAACATTGGGAACATGATGTTGAAGTGTATTTAAGAGTGCATGTAAATTATAGTTATTGGTATAAGATGCAGTCTATTCGAAATAATGTAAATACTTGTTTTGTTTGAATACAAAGTGTAATATTTTGTGTCTGTGAGAAATAGATTCAGTGTTTGTTCCTTTTGCTGAAATTTACTATTTGATAGTTTATCTAATCATGTTGAATGCTTTGACAATAAAATAGCTTTATTTTCACCTGATTGTGTGATTAATTATGCCTGACTATAAAATGACAGGGAATTATATGTTAAACATCGCAAACGTGTACATGTGTAATCTGACCCTCTTAATAGTGTATTGCAGAGCAATGCTTGGTACTGTATTTACAGTTGTCGATAGAGTTCCTTTTAAACAAGATCCATAATTCATACAAAAACTCTAATATTATCGCGTATACGCGATATTTGTCTTTGTCTTGGGCACATTAGCGGTAGTCTAATATGTCTTTATTATTCAAAAATTGCCTCAACAATTCATCGACCATCGACTGTAATACGTGCACTAAGAAATTAGAGTAGTTGGGTTCTACACTCATAATGTTTGTGGAGAAATACACACACACACACACACACACGCACAACAGCAAAAAGATCATTGTCTACAAAATTAATATAAATAAATAAATAGACAATATGAATAGCCTACTACAAGGTAGATTAAATTAAACACAGTATTCATTATAGTTTATTATAATAACAACAGCAACAACAGTTATCATATTATTATTACTATTATTATTATTAATATTATTAACAACAATAACAACATTTCTACTTCGATGCATGCTCCTCACGTGATGGTGCTTAAATAGCGAGACGCCTCCAAGAAACACGATTTCCACTGTGGTAAAGGTTATTTTAGTTCTTAGACAATGAAAATAGCTAATTAAATAAATAAGTAAACAAACAAACCAAAGACGGTTGCTATATTAAACATGCGCGCTCTTTATTTTCAAACGACTTGTTCTTCTGTCACAATAACATGCATTAAAAGTGTTAATCGTTTGGTTTAATTCGCTCTTTGTGTTATTATAATCCTGTAAAGTGCGTGTTTCAGAAAATTAAGATAAAAGCAAATACTACTTGACTCCATTATTAGCTGCTATAAAAAGTAAAACAGATTGTATAATAAACTACTGAAAAAAATAACTCGGTTTAAAAAATAAAATGAAACAACAGCCTTTAATGTTGCGGAAAGGCTAATATAAATGTACACAGGCCTAACGCATAAAAGAAAAAAACACAAATGCCCACCCATAGGCTAATTAAAATTACATAGGCTAATCTCGATTTAGGCATTTACTACATATTTATCACACAAGGCACAATCAATAAAACATTTGCATGGTCAATATATAGTCTACCTGCCACAATCAACTGTGATTTACAATTATTGTTTTGTAAGACAAAATTAGACAATAAAACACCATATGGTTGTTTTCTTAGCTTTATATTACATGTCTTTTTCAAACAGAAATTAATATCAGGGAACTTGCATTGTGGCGCTTAAAACCAAGGAGCCGAGAGAGAGAGCTACAAGCTGTTAAAATAGCTCAACAGTGACACCAAGCTTTTATAATGAAAAATTCAACCAAATCAAGATTTTAAAAAATGAATTGTGATTGCCTGATATCGTAGAGCCTTAGTCTGCCACCTAACGGTCGACACAGGTGTCAACAAAGCCAAAGTTCAACCAGCTAGTCATTTAGTTATTTTAATTATAAAATAACTAAATGTAAAATAACTAAAATAATTTAGCTAAAAAAATGTAGTTATTTTACTTAGTTGCTTTGTTTTAATTATGCATTTATAAAATAAAAAGTGATCTTCTGAGTAAGGGGGAAAAAATAGACTCGCACTGAACTTTGGTTCAATGTGATATCGATGTAATAAGTGGACCTAAAAATAAACCTTTCCCAATCATAAAAAGCCATGAAAGAATTCAGTCCAGAATATGAGGTAATGAGCTGGGAGATGATGATAGTCACTTATACTTACAGAAGATATTTATTGCCTGACCCATGTTTTGTGACTGGAGTCATCCGTCCCTTCATAAGCTCCAGTTACATTTGTCATGGTATCACTCAGCACCTCTCGGTCAGGCTCAGTTTATACCCTTCTCACATGTGGCCAATGTGGTCACCCTTGGCTAACCTAGCTGGCCCGCTTCTCATACTTTATGTATGATCATGTCCTATGGTGAACTGCTCTTCCATGCATCTGTCTCTTCCCTTCATCTTCCTGTTGTTCTCTAACATCTTGGCAATGGGGCCCTTGCATCAAAATAGACCTGTGTGAAACACACCGATCTCAAACAGTATGTATATGAGCATGGTATTTATAGATGATTCACACTAACGACGCAGTGACATCCGAGATCATGACAAGAAGCATGAGAAAGCCAAATCCATAATTTATAACTGCCGATTGACTGTTTGCATTTCTCTGCAGAATATAACAGATAGAATAACCTGTGTAATTTTGCTTATAGTTTATGGAATATTTCAGTGTTTATTATAAATTATTTATCCATGCACATCATCATTTTTTTATCAATTTTTTAATAAAAATCATTCTCCCCCCTTCATCCCATCTAGCAGCAATCTGTCACTCAACAGACATGAGATCCCAGCAATTTAGAAAACAACAACTATCCAACAATCCAAATGATTCCCAGTGGACACATTGGGCCTTTTTTTTCTCTTTTGAGAAGCAGTTTCACTAAGATACACATTACAACAGGGATGAAAAGATGACGGCAAGTTCCGTTCCATGCTAACTTTAATACTTTAATAAATGAGCCAGTGATCTGATACGAGATGAAAGTTCATGAGTGGTTTGATACTCAGCATTGCAATGGACAACAGCGAATATTATGAAATATTAGACCAATGAATTCCACAAGTAAATACGTAATTAGCATCAATAATCTATATGTGTTTGTTTGAACCTCTAAATTCTCTTCAACAGTTGCCTGTTTATTCCGGGGATTAGCTATGATTGTGTTATTGCCTACCATTGGTTGCATATGAACAACAGGCTGCTTAAGTTATTTTAAAGCAGGACACATTCAATCTTCCTCTAAGCTGACATGGACAAATTTACACTTCGCGTTCACTTCAAAGATGAACAGATCCGCTTTATAGACATGCGTTTGCACTTTGCATGCTCTCTGTCCTCCTCAACTGTTTGTACCTGTCTTCTGTGAGTCTGCCTTGAAAATTCTAAGCATTGCTGAGAGTAATAGACAGATCTGACAGCAGGCAAGTATTTAAGCTGCACCTGTCCTTCCTCTTCAAACTTCTGTCCTTCATGGGTCATACAAAATTTTCAAGTAAAGAGAAACAGATTATAATTGAATTTAGGCATCTTCTGCTGACTCTCTTTTCTTGCTTATTCAGTATACCTTAAATATATGTTTTTTCTAGGCTATTTTAATTTTTTGTATATTAAAAGGATAGTTCACTCAAAAATGAAATCTCAAATTCCTGTATAATTAACTTTCTTATGGGGAACACACAAAAAAATATCTATTTTGAAAAGTTATTTTCTTCATGTATTGTAGGACAAAAACGTTCTTCAAAATATCTCCTTTTGTGTTCCACAATAAAAAGAAAATCAATGACATGAGTAAATGACAGAAATGTCAAAACTATCCATATTAAGTACATTTGAACTATTAAGTGGTTTCTTCCTACAATTAAAAAAAAGGTGTAGAACCCATTTTCACTCAGAAAATGCTAGTAAATTTCACAAATAATTACAAAGAAATGTCAAGTACACTCTAAAAAATGCTGGGTTAAATATAACCCAGCGCTGGGTTAAAAAGGGACAAACCCAGTTTTGACCCAAAACAACCCAACCGCTGGGTCAAAGCAGAGTGATACCATTGTGAAATGTTCAATTTTAAGTTTTAATGACTGATATACAATTATTTTTCTTATAAAATGTAATTTCTTATAAATAGTACATTTTACAGTTCATGCCTGGTAAAAGAAGGATATTAATGTGCTAAAAATTAGATTTTAGAGAATGGATTTCTCATGTAACTGTAACTTTGATGCTTATGGATCTGCACAACCCAGCGCTGGGTTAAAAAGGGACAAACCCAGTTTTGACCCAAAACAACCCAACCGCTGGGTCAAAGCAGAGTGATACCATTGTGAAATGTTCAATTTTAAGTTTTAATGACTGATATACAATTATTTTTCTTATAAAATGTAATTTCTTATAAAATAGTACATTTTACAGTTCATGCCTGGTAAAAGAAGGATATTAATGTGCTAAAAATTAGATTTTAGAGAATGGATTTCTCATGTAACTGTAACTTTGATGCTTATGGATCTGCACTTTTTTTTAGATGTTGATTTATTTTTTGCATGCATATGAAATCAAAGCAAAGCGCTCGTTCACATTCCATAGTTACAGTTATACTGAGCATGCAGGTGTCAGCAGCTCAGCCGCTAACAATGTCGGACACAGCTGTTGTTCGCTCTGCTAATGCAACGTGGTGAACCGCAATCGAACATAAATTATGCAACCGCACAAAAGATGTACCAGTCATTCATGCCGTTAACACAGACACCAACACCATCACGTTGTCGTTGCTGGGTCATGCCAGGTCGTAATTTATATGTCATCAACAGGAACAAGCTGTATGCTTTACTAAGGCAGTGTACAGGTCACACATTTTATCTTGACAGCAGGTTTGTTGTTGTTTCTTGCTCTGGGTCATTTGTCACAGTGCACAGGGTGCTGCTCTCAGAGAGAGGCCGCTTTAAGCGTAGCGGTAAAATATAGGCCTTCGGAAATCCACTGTAAAACTATACGGAACTAATCTTTCAGCGCTGTGCAGGCATTTCGAGTGTCCAGCTCTGATTACTGTGCCTTGAGCCAAAGCAGTCAGGTAGGCCTGAAGGTGGATTTATGCTACGGGAAGTGCACATGAAACTCCCTGTTGATTGGTGAGGGGGGGAAATGGTGACTGTTTGTTGGTTTTACTAGATAGGAATAAGGACTAGAGGGGGGGAGGATGGGAAGACTTCAAAAGATGCATTTCTCTAGTACACAAGAGGGATAGGACTTCACATCAGAGAGTCCAGCAATTTCCGTAGCCTCAACTATGACCTGAAGGAATGAAGCCTGGAGCAAAAGCCTGACACTCAAAGGAAGATG